CCTGGGTTGGGAGCCGAAGTTCTTATCTCCGTGCTACACAAGAGTATGCAGATCCTGATGTTTGTGAATTAGCATAAACCATACGCGAAAATATCAAATTCATTATTCCCCTTCGTTTCAAGTTTTAACGCAAAACAATTAGGATTAACAATCTCCTCTCGTATCCGTTACTTATGCCATGTCTGACAGGCAAAACTCAGTGACTGTACGGGTAAAGGCAGTTACACAATTGTAACCATATGTGAGAGACATCATCAAGCAAAATGATTAACCTTGTCATACAGTTACGTGATAATTCAGCAGAGACCATCTTTTTCCCGATTTTCCCCACAAATTAACAGAAAGAATTTATTTACAGCTACTGTTTAGCTTACCTGGGGTAAAAATAAAGCCTACTTACGGTTCTGCCACCCAAGGTCCTAGAAATCAGCATCAAGATGACTGACATACAGCATTCACTTTTACCAAAATTGAGCCAAAGATATCTTCTCATCCTGTGATTTGCTGCACCATATATAAATGTCTTCTGTGAAATAGTATAGAGAAATCTTTTAACGTGAGTTCATAACTTGGAGTTCATAACTTAATCGAACTTTCGACCAAACGATTACATTTTAAATATCCTTAAATGGGGTTTCATGTTGTGGATATGCTTTTGGTCGTGTGACTCACTTGAACCTCGATTATCAATGATAAAGGTGTTCGGATATCGTAGAAAAAATGACACGCGTTTATCTGAAGGGGTTTGCCCAAGCATCACCATCGGATTTTTTCACCGAATGTTAGCAAATCATGTTTGAGTGATCGAAAATTACACACTTTAATTCAATGCATCGCCACCATGCCACCCCCACCATCGATTCTCAGGTCTTAAGCAAGTGTGTTGACTAAATATTTTTTGATCGATTTGTCAAGGTTGTCGTAATAACTCACGCAAAGAACGTGGCAATTGCGCCACCGAATCACATGATGTGAATCATACGACTGAATTCTGAGTGGAATCGATGTCAGTGCGTACACGCGTGCGTGAGTGCCAGATCTAACGGAGCGAGTCAGTCTGGAGTGATTCACATGGGGTTTGATCGTGCTAACCTAGTTGGTGGTATTTCGCGTTCGATTGAATCACAGAGGAGCGTTCTCTCACGCGCACATGTGATGTGCGTGCCTGCGCGCGTGCACATAAAACGGGGCAAAATAACTTATAATGACTCATAGCGATCCTGATCGAATTTCTAGAGATCGATTAACCTTCTGTGAGTAGCATCATCAGGTGTTTCGCATGCATCCTGTTTTCTCCGTAGTTATTAGTGGTCTGAGAAATCAGCTTCGTTCCAACAATCGGGAGCGTTGATTTGCGCAGAGGAAAAGTACTGAGGTAAACAACTGACAAATCAACGCAAGACCCATGGAGAAAACGATCCATTATTTTTCTGTTTGGTGTATGCTGGCTTCGAGACGTTCGCTTGCGCATCAGATGTTCCTAGCCCAGGAAGAAAATCATCCAATGTGACCTTTTCGTAGGTGGGTGTGCATTCAAGCTACAATAATTTAAGGTGGCTTATTTCACAACTATAACCCAGTTTAAATCTATAAGCTATGATGCGTTCCGCTACCGCCGTATTCTCTTCAGTATTTCAATGTCGTGACCCCCCTCCGGCTACAGAAACAATTCGGCATGCTCCTAGACTTTTCAAACTAACTAAGAACGGTGGGTATTTTGATGCTAATCTGCTATCATTATTCCATTGGTAATTATACCGCATAATCTGGTTACTTTCTTTCCACGCAATTCATGATGAATTCCGTTATGAAATGTTTATCTATCATTCACACTCGTTGTCCTGCTTTATTCAGTGGGAAGATTCATTACCCATGAGCAATCGATCCACCGATTTGTAAGGTCAGTGGATGAAGCTGACACCATTAACAATCGGACGGACAACGTCCTTACAGAATTAAATTGTCCGCAGTTGAAACGACATGCTTATTCAATCTATCTATCTATCTATCTATCTATCTATCTATCTATCTATCTATCTATCTATCTATCCTTGTGTCTGTCTGTCTGTCTGTCTGTCTGTCTGTCTGTCTGTCTGTCTGTCTGTTTGTCCGGCTGGCTGGCTGGCTGCTAGCATCATGGATCCCACTCAACTTTCACCAAGCTTGAAGACAATGAATGCGTTTATAACCTGGAAGCAAGAGTTACATGTATGGTGTCCTTCGAAACTTGCTAGATAAGAATTTCCACCCACGAAACAAAATACTTTGAAGCTCCACGACTAAAAGCCATCTTACTCGTAATCAGGTCATATCAGCAGTCTTTCAGTTTATCAAGGATGTCGAACCTGAACGGTTTCCCGTTTCTGTATACAACAGTGCAAAATCTAGTTTGTGTAAATACCAACCCATGCAGCTCGGTCACCAATGTGACGCGCTAAATCCATGAAAATGCTTTCAGGTTTGAATTGTGAGTGTGGTGGAGATGGTTCTCATTACCGTACGTGCCGAACACGCGCAACAATCACCGTTACTCCTATGCAATTGTCACTTGATTTGATGCGGATGGAAATAGCTTTCTCCTTCTTTGATAGCAGATATTTCATTGAAATCCGCGTTTATTATTAGAGGTAAACCGATATAGGTCGACCAAAAAGTTACGAACGGACCGCAGTGTTCAATGACCCTCTTGGACAAGTTTGCGGCTTTCACGGTCTCTGTAAAGGATTAGACTCCCTTGTTTCAGCTCAGATAGCCTTGAGCCGTATGGCATAAGTTTGTTTCGACAATCAACAGATTGTATGGCGATTGAGAAAAGCTTAGTAGCCTCGATGAGATTCGAACCCAAGCACGGACGCTGCCTACGCTTTGTACGCGCACGCTCTACCAGCTGAGCTACGAGGCCACATGCGTGGGTTCGAATCCCACCGAGGATACTGAACTTTTCACAATCGCCATACAAACTTTAAATCTGGCAAACAAAAATTTTAGCAATTAACAGATTCAAAAAGTAAACCACGATGTATGATTTTCCATCAACCATGAATGCGTATAACATGAACTTTGTGTAGCCCTCAGGGAACGATAAATGCAAAAATAAACCCCATAAACTGAAGGTTTGGAGTACACATATTTCAGCCAATAGCAGGTTTTTTCCCTTAAATGACAATTTGACGTTCAGAATGGGTAAATCAAAACGCAGACTCTTATTAAAGGAAGTTTACAAACCTTACACTGACTCTTTAACCAACTGACTCGTTCAAAATACGATGATTTTTAGTCTTGTAGATTTTGTATCCAAACTGTCTTCAGTTTGTACATTTGAACCCCTGTGGGATATATGCCGTCATTGTGGTCGGATTCTCAGATTGAGATATCTTTTGAATCTCTGAATTCGGGATCAATTATACCAAAATTGACAGCTTGTTTAATGAAGTACAAGAAACATCTGTTTGAATCTGATGCATCGTTGTTATCCTGGCCTAAAAAATGACGCATAGCACGGGGCGAGACGTTACAGTTTCCGGACAACTGTGATGAGTCAAGCTTCCCAGATGGCGCTATCAAAACGCGTTACAGCCTCTAGACTACGAACCAGACTGATTGCACCAACTAATCAGAAGCCATACGGCTCAGACAGAAGCTGTACGACGCCAGGAATACTAGCACGCCATTAGCAGAGGCTTGGATGATAAATGAACTTCTTCTGTACATATTATTTAAACCCCATGATTTCTTTCCATCAATGAGCTACTACTTTTGTGGCCTTTTCCTTGCGTCTCGATTACGTGGGATGCTTTCGTGCAATTGCCAGTGTAATTCAGTGCCTAATGGACGCCCGTGATTTCTGATACATGATTCGTAATTCGTGATCAGTGCGTACTTCAACTATTACATATTCTCTTTAGTTGACTAATGCTATGCGGTTATGCATACTCAGTGTAAAGACCTTGACAACTTCTCATTCCGTTTGAGTGTGAGTCGAGTTCATGTCTCGCTGGACCGCTTGGTTCATGGTGTCTACATTTTCCTCTTTTTGAGATTGCCAGTCAATCCCCTCTCCACGGAGAACCTCCTGNCCTCCTGTCTGTGGACAGCTTCAACCCACTCCTAGACTCGACCCACTTGCGGTTGTCTGGTGTATTCGTTCACGGGGGGACATCCTGCTGCACACACGAGCCAAGCATCTCACATCAGAAGTCGGTGAACTTCCGTAATCCGGTTTCCAATCTGAATCAAAATGCATGATTTAGCTTCAGACATCTTATTTTTTGTATCGATATATTAGTGAATCAGTTTTGGAGTAACCGCTTCCCTTTTTTCAAGCATTGCTAGTGGTACATCAATTAACATGAACCACTAGCAAGCCGAGACACGATAAACTTGTAAAGCCCCTTCTTTTTTCAGTTAGAATGGGAGGTAAACAGGGTACTGTTGAATCACGAAAATTTCTATACGGAATACTAAACACAGAAAATTAGATTTAATTGTATTGCGGGGAACGCCAAGTGAGCAGGTCAAAATTGAGCAAATGATTTGTGTCGTTGAAACTATTATAAGGAATTGAGGAAATTAGATTGTCTTATCCACGACGAATGAAAACCAAAACACAAAGGCCTTTGTGTTTTGGTTTTCATTCGTCGTGTCTACGACTAGCTAATTTCCTCAATAATCCTGAGCACGACGCCCAAGTTTTTCAGTGAGATCCATTCCATCCATGGATCTCGTGTGATTAACATTATCTATTATAAGGAATATTCTAGCAAGAAGACCACACAACCAAAGAACCCCTGATCATTGTAAATTCGATACCTGTTGCTTCTGTGCAGGAACAGAACGTTCGGACAGGACGGTAACGGAAACCCCGATTGGCTTGTAAAGCATTTTGGACAACAAGCGCTCCGGTTTCAAACAACTCTATAAATTGAAGGTGCATCAGATGCGCACCTCAGCTCTAAAAGCAAAGCCTTATCGTTTCTACAAGTTGTAGTATTTTTTCTCGTATGGCGTGTGTGCTATGCGATGCAAACGGTGAAGCCCCAAACACGTTGCACGAAAATTGTAAGTTCTCTTTGACAGTTTTGGAGAGATCTGTTCAATTTGGCTGTAGCAGTCTAGTTTCGAACGTCTGTCACGATGATACCTGAACATCCGGAAAGAACTTTTGGGTGAGGAGAATTTGGGACAATCTGTTACAGGGAAACAAGTAAAAACTCGGTGAACACAGACACACCGCAGCTACATTGTAATGCAGTTATCTCCAAGATTACGGAGCGTTCATTGACATTCGGGTACGGGGTGGGGAATGGACTACCGCGGAAACCACGTGCGATACTTTTTGTTAACCTACAAATTTCTTTTTTCCGTGTGAAACACTTTGGAATCAAATACTGCTTTAAGTTTTGGAAAAATACTGTATATGTGGGTAATTACTTCATCGTATCACGTTTAACTTTAGGGTTTAGGAGTTATTGAACGAAACTAAAACCTTGAAACACCATCACCATTTTATGGTCAAAAAACGATATTCAGTTATATTCGATCACTGCAGCGGTGATTACTCCCATCACTTGATTCACATCAATTTTCGGGATCTCCTCAATGTAGTGGACTTTAAGTGGAATCGTAAACACACAAAGACTTATTGTTTTCCGTCCCCTTGCTTCAAGAAGACTCTTTTCTATTTCAGTTAAACATTATTGAGAAAACATTATTTGGAAAGTTGAATCAACCGCGGGAAAATTGCTCAACTTGAACCAGTTTGCCACAGAAAAATCCAGAAACCGATTTCACTAAATAAAAGGGCGATGAAGATAAATTTGAGCTCGTTTGATCCGATTACATACAAACTTAGCCCACAGAAATCCGGATGGCACCGTTTTATACATTTTACAGTCACTCCACTAACTTTAAGTCTTTCCGACCGTGGTGTCTTGGATTGTGTAGTTGATGGTACTGTCTCATGAGTTTTCCACCTAAGCTTCAATTTCCTGTGACCAGATAAAAAGATAGAAATATTCCGTAAAAAGCTATTAGTTGGAGCAAGGTTTTTATCATTAAGAAATAGAAAAACTAATTAAACGTTTTTAATTTCTTTCACTCAATAAATGCACAAAAATATAGCCCATTTTTGACAAGGGGGCTTCCACCAACAAGCCGCTGCATGGGAACTGTGGGGAACTGTGATAACGGTGATGGTCGGATTCGAACATGAGACCTCCAAATCCAGGTGACAGGGACTTGCACAATTTGTTCACCTCTGGATATGTTGTGTATTATTGAAACATGCATACCATTCCTGTCCTCAGATCACTATCACCAAAATCAGAACAAAAACCGATGAGATAAACATGCATGGATGGGATAGGTCTGTGTACTTTTTTCGGAAAAACTATAAACCTGTATTGGAATTTCGCTCCGATTTTCGCACAACACACTACATTGTTTTGAGTAAATACGAAATACAAGTGATCAAAGTTAGGAACTCCACAAAAACGTTTTTTTTGTTAAAGTATGATCGAAAGGAACGCAGTGAATAGCAAAAAAGGGGCGTAGCCATTGGGTAGTTGGGTTGGGTGGGATTCTGTGACAATTGCATTCAATTGTTAAAAGGTAATGAGAGTTTGCTTGAAGAAGTGTGTCAGTGACTCATTCCAGCTATTCAAAAGCTTTCATGTCTTCCAGAAAAAATAGCGAAAAGCAGTCATTTCAGGTAAATCATGAGGTCACTTATGTAAACTTGAATGCTAGCAATACGTTGTTCACTAGTAGAAATAGCTCACCAAACAATAAAAATCCACAGGTAAAGAGGTAATCAGTTCGGTAGATATGTCACATCTGCACTAAAACGTTCGGATAAATAAAATGGAGCGAAACTGCTAAAGTAATTTTCTCTGTCTGAGTTTCAACACGGCGGGGTGGGGGGTTACTTATCATTTATCTGTTCATACGATTATCGACTTCTTTTGGCTGCCGCTGTCGTGTACCTTTGGTTAATCACAGTATGACTGAGTCATTTGGATCTATCTGTAATGTGAATTCCCGCCCAGCCCCTCAAAATCTCACATCTGTGGACACTTCCAGCATCTCTGTCGACGAAACAAGCTTAACGTGATTTCCAGCTTCATTATAGGCTGGACTCCGATATTTGTGCTATGCGAACCGGCAAAGTACTAAGGGACACGGAATTCATTTTCTGCAAGCTGCATCTTCTGTACGCATTCGGATTGCTGTGTCCCTATTGGGGGCTGCAGACAAGTGCAATAAAAGCACACTCGCCCAAGAGCAGTCCCATCGTGTTAACTCAAATGTTGTACATTGGGGATATTCGGACCATCAATTAAGAAACCATGTACCCCCATTCATCACACTTACAACGGGCCAGTGATTAGGAAACCAAACTCTAATCTGTGTGTGGGATCTTGATTCCAGAAGGGAAGTATATGTATGTCTTTTTATATAAATTAAACAAGTTTCACGGTTACGTTTAAAAAAGAAACTCTGTTTTAGTAAGTGGTGCTCACCTAAGAGTAGAAGGAAGCTTGGTTTTAGAACAGTTATGCGAACAATCTAGTCGGTTTGCCTGAAATTCATTCACCCTCATTTTAATAAGTACCAATCTGTCATACTGGCAGGCTTACAAGCTATCTTATTTCTACGGTAGACGAGGCAGCAAATCCATTTGAGAGTCTCCAGGTAGTTCAAACATGAACGGTCAAGTACGTTTTTAACCGGAGCCTGATTCACAGTAAACATAGGCGATAACAAAAAAGATATCCGATATCAGGGCAGGTTTTATCTGGCAACAAATCTATCCGCAACGAAAATCAACGTGATCTTTGTGAATTTGACTGACCATTGAGTAAGCTCATTATCATCTCACAGTTACCCTTGGCTGTACTAGGACTGGAAAGGCACGTGATAATGGACGTACACGAATTTTAGATAAAGAACCAGGGACACCAAGAGACCTGCCAATCTGGCGGGACCAAGCGAATGAAGTATGACTGGTTTAATGTTGGAAAGCTAACATGCGGATCATACGAACAGTTATTGGTCAGCGAACACTACACTGATATGTGAATGATATTTCTGATAGATCTTTTTGCATCCGTTTCTGAATAGAATCAACTACACATATAGTTCTTTACAGTTCTACATGATTTCGATTTACTCAGTAGGCTTTTAGTCCACATCCAAGTTCGAGTGCGATTCTGCTTACATAAACGGGTGCCACGGGGGAAAAACATTGATGGATTGTACGAATGACACTCCAACACAGATGAAATCTTATTGGAGATTGTTGGTAGTCAGTTTTCCGTTCTTAAAAGTTTTGATAAAAACCTTAATACCACCTAACTTCAATTACCCGAGTGTATACTATTAAGAAAGGCTGTTTATATGCCCTATCAAACACCTAACCCTTTTTCTCAAAGCTGATCATTGCCTTAGGGCAGCTTGCTCAAAATTTTCTTGATGCGTCTGTCGACGGGGCGCATAAATATGCTGGTTTTTCCTACCGAGTGAAAAGGGATGTCAGACATTCTGCTTATATGAGTCACTGCATCGTCACAACCCGATACGTGACATGACTACATGTACAAAAATTGTTGGCTTCGTTTATTTGAAGTCAACTACAAATCAGCTGATGTCTTCACGTCACATGTTCGAAGTCACGTAATATTTTCGTTGTGTGCGGTTCTATTCAGCTTTTGTTACTTTAGCATGGAAACACTCACGCACAACTACACAGCACTGTTGGAAAAAGCAATCCATTCTCATTATCACCGAAAGGAATATGTTCATTCGGCATCCACACATGAAAGGAACAGAATAAACCCATAGTTCAATACTCTAAATCAATTAGTGGGAATATGTAGAATATCCTTGGAACCAAAGGGTGCACTTTTAATTTGCATGATCGGTCACCAGATCATCTGGCTGTGATTGACGAATTTCGGCTTATTTCTGAACTCCGACACATTCTTTTGTGCGCGTCCTAAAGGAACACCGAAACGGCTGTAGCCAACCGCCTTCATGAAGGCTGCTTGCACAAATTTATGTTTATCACAACCAAAATAACATTTATTATCATTCATACAATTGCCATGCTCTTTATCATGATTAAAATGTCCACATCGAGCTTGTAGTCGTACGATCACAAGAATCTTTGATTTATTTCCTTCTTTTTCTCATCTCATTGCAGCCCCCATTGGAAGAATCAACAAATTAATCCACATTGCCTTAATGTATTCAAATCCTAATTGGGTTGTTTTTTCTTTATTGTTGACTTTGCACCAGTTAACAAGCATTTTCTTGGCAATGATTATGAAGAACACAATTCCCGTTGAACAACTGTTTTTAATAATACATAGTAATGCCATGTTAATTTCTGTATGACCGTAAAACCCAGGGTTAAGAGGATGACATAAGAATGAATCATGGTGTATACACGTATCGAACCACCCTTGAACCATTGTGTGCTACCGGGATTTTCAGTTATGGCACGTTGATCGTACGAAGCAGTTTCGAGGGCCTAATGTGGCTTTTTGGTTGCGGTTACGACGGGAGGGAGTTGGTGAACCCTGGGGAGATGAAGAGCTTGGAATAAACATTTCTGCGCACATAGTTCGCTGATCAAGGGTTTAATGTGGATAGATGGCTTGAGCTATGGCTAACAGGTGCCTTCTAACATAATTAAACGGGTTCAGGAGAATATGGTGAATAATTTTGTATGCTTCTCCTGAGTTATTATCTAGTTGAATATATCCAACCTGTTAAAGAATCCCAACAGTGTATGTCCAAGGATGTGTTCTTTCCAATAGTTCTAATGTGATGCTGGTTTGCGTTAGTTTCTAGTTCAATCGGCATATTCACAATGATGAATTCATTTACCAAATGAACTCCGTTATCCAACAGTAACCTAGCTGAAAGTGTAGCTGTCCGAAACAGTGAAATGGCATTGTGGACAAACCATGAACTGTCACTACTGTTAATCGTGAATTGCCTCGTATTAGTAAGCTAGCGGAAAACCGTTACATTAAGCCCCTCCCAAATATTACACCATAGTATTGGTATATTCACATTACTGTGATCCCACTCACATCTATGCGTCATTTATTTTGGGTGTGACCAGTCCAATCACGCTCATCGGACGCTTCAACCGAGACTGCCACATTTAGTATCCAACGGACTGGGGACAGACGGAGGTAAACACGTTGCCGGTCACGGGATTGTTCAATCGCGCAAGCGTATTAACGCGCGTGTGTTTGCGCAACCCAAGCACACGTGCGCGCGTTCGCGAGCGAGCGGACGTGTGTGTTTGTGTGTGCATATGCCTTTCTGTCCGATGTCAGCTGGTTCGGTCAACTAGGGAAGGATCTGTCGGCTCTTACCTATTTTAGCAGTGTCGTCAACATCGTTGTTTTGCAACTTATGCACTCTCTTCTGTATTGATCTCTGGTTTTACAAAATTAATCTTTCTGTGGTTAGAAGGATTAGCAGACTATTCAGTGTGATTTATGGAGGAAATATCAGTGGTCGGTTAATTTAGCTTGGGTAGACGTGAACTAGAAATGGAATGAAAACACCATCAGTGGGGTTCCTTGGACGTCAAAATTGATTCAAATTTTTAAATCACTTACACTTGTTAGGAAGACTATTGTCGTTGGCGCGCGAAAGTGTTACATCGTGCCTTGCATTTTTCAATAGATGGTTTTTATCCGAATTACTTACATTTGACACAATGTGAAATGGGATTGACCTCACCTTGGGATAACAACTGAAAACACAGCTGAGCATCAGATTTACAGAGTAGCTCATTGGCGAAGCGGCATTTGTTTGCATTGCTCATGCAGTGAGTTTCAGTTTTCTGGTACAGTAAACTAACATGATCCATTTTTGATCGAAGATTGCCGTTGAGAGCTGAATTGCTACAACAATCGTCATTTAAATCGCCTTTAATTCCTTCATGCAGTACAGTTTGGGAGTGTATCACGATCCACTAGCTGAGAATCGGATGAAATA